GCCGGGAGCAGCCTGGTCTGGTAGGAGGTGTCCCTGCCCATGGTGGGGGGGGTTGGAGTAGATGATCTTTAAGGTCCCTTCCAGCCCAAACCATTCAATGACGATTTTACGATTCCTCTGCCAGGGCTGGGCACCGTCCCAACCCAGCACCGCTCCCCAGCCAGATGCCCTCACCCGTGCCTGGGGGTGTAATCCCTTCCCAGCTGCCGCTTTCTGCAACTGTGCTGCCCTTTTCCCCTCCCTTCAGGGCAAAAGGCTCAGCAGCCCGTTCCTGGGGACCCCACGACGCCTTGCCCGAGTGAGGGGCAGCACGTGGCAGTGACTCCCTGCCCGCTGGGCAGGTCCCTGACCAGCTTGCCGCTCTCCATCAAGTTACAGGTTACATCTGCATCCAGGTAAGGCTGAGCTGCCCGCTCCTGGCAGCGAGCACCCTCTGGGCTAGCGCCCCTCTGCAGGGTTTACCTCCAGCCTCTTGTCCTCTCTGCAGAGCAAAGGAGCTGCTGGAAGGCCCAGAGCTGAAATTCCTAACGCCGGTGCGGCGCTCGCTGCGGATAGAGGGGGCTGGGAGCCGCTACCCAGAGATGCTGAAGGACCACGACCCTGTGGTGTCATCCCTCAGTGAACTCCTGGATGCTGAGGAGGAGACTCAGTTCTTCTTCCGGAAAAACAAGGCTTTGCCAGAGGTGGCAGAGCTGGAGGGTTTGAGTTTGTATCCCCCAGAGTGCTGCTGAGTGATTCCTGGTGGGGTGCAGGCTGATTGCTCCCCCAGGCTGCCTTGCATGCTCTCTACTGACTTGTTGCCTCTCAGATGTAAATATGTTCAGGTGGCACATAATAAGCCTGTTTCAAGTATATAAGCACTGTTTTAAATACATAAAAACTTGCCACAGAGATGCAGCGTGGCCTAGTGAGTAGCGTGCAAGTTCTGGGCTTGGAGACGTGGGCTGTGTCCCCTGGGACTGCCCTGGGCTGCTCTGCTGTGACGCCCGCTCCGATGTTCCTGCTGTAGGATGACGTCAGTCAGACTCTGCAATGCTCCTGGGTTTTGGAAGCAACGTCCCCGGGGCTTTGCTCCAGAGCTGCCTTGTGCCCTACCCGGACAGCATCCGGATGGTCCCCGCCAAGAGGTACACAGGTCCCCTGCAGCAGCACCACCTGTGCCAGGGCTGGGGGACCCGTGGGACCGTGGCAGCTCCCTCACAGCCCCCGAGGGGTGCAGAGGTCCTTGGGGTGCAGCTGGATGAGGTCCCAGACCCCTGGGCACCATCATCACCTTCCCATCCCCAGCAAGCAGCAGTCTTGTCCTCATCCCACCTTTTGGCCTCCTCCCAACACAACCACCACTAACGTTGGCTCAGCATCTTTATTGAGAAACCTCGATGCTGGAAGGAGTCTTAGAGCAGCATCTGGCCCAGCCCCCTCCTGCGGGTGCAGGACAGTGCTGGCATGGGGTGGGGGGGTGTCAGGGCGGTCACCTCTGCCCAGGGGCTTGCACTTGTACCAGCTGCTGGCAGAGGACTTGACAACTGCCCTTTGCCCCCCCTCCCCCCCAGGCAAAGCAGTTTGCCTTTAAAATGGCCAATTTTATGTCTCTGTGGTGCCAGGACTTTGGGTATCTTTTATAAATAGAAAAGGGGAGAAAACAAGAGGGAGCAGCAGTCACCTCCAGAGCCCTCCTGTGCTTGAGCAACATTCACCCACATCCACCCAGAGCTGGGCCACAGTGCCTGGGGTCAGGCACCGAAGCTGGAGGGGTAGGAGCTGCTGAGGGCGCTGACTGGTGCAAAGCAGTTTTCCAGTGACAGCCGGAGCGGCGGCACTGCCGGCTCTCCCCGGTCTCGGGGAGCCCCAGGCTGGTATGGAGCTGGCTGGGGGGCTGTGAGTGAAGGTGGGGGCACTGGTGTGTGGGGAGAGGTGTGGCGTGGGGCACAGGCCAGGGGCACTGAAAGCCCTCCTGGGGGTTGGCACCTGCCAGATCAACAGCCGTTGGCACTGGGGTGGGCTCAGGCTTCTCCATCATCCTCCTCCTCCCCGCTGGAGTCCTGGGGGACCCCACTGACCTGAGACAGAAGTGAGGGGCTTGGTGGGCACAGGAGCCCAGCAGCATCAGGGTGCTGGTGCTGGGATCCCCATGCTTACAGCCACCAGGTCCTTCTGTCCCCTGTCACCCACCTGCTGGCTGGGGTGGCCATGCCAGGCCAGCCAGGGTGCCAGGGCCGTGCCAGCCTCCCCCGTGTCCAGGCGGCCGTGCTCCACCGTCGACTCGTGTGCCATCTGCGGTGGGGAGAAGCCTTACAGAGACGGGCCAGCACTGAACGGCCAAGGGGTTGGGTGCCCACCAAACGCCTCCATCAGCCCCATCCCCGTGCTCAGGCAGGGAGGGAAACTGAGGCACAGTGAGTGAGCCAGGGGAGGGTTGGGAGCTGCATACCAGGACGGGGGGTGCCCGGAAAAGGTAGCTGAAGGGGTAGTAAAGGAAGTTGATAAAGGAGGCGGCATAGAGGTCGGCGTAGCGCATCAGCTGGTTGGCGAAGAGGGTCTGGCGTGAGCCACAGCGGAAGAGGCTGCCCATCTTCCCGTAGCACATGTCCATCTCGTGTGTGACCTTCTGCAGGTGCAGTGGGATGGTCAGGGCACCCACCATCCCTGCTGGGGTGACCCCCGTGGTGGTGGTGGTGGTGATCTGGGGCAGAGAGCTGAGCTGTGCACTGGCTGGGACGGGATCCCGGGCGTCACCTGGATCCGACGCTTGATGGAGCTGATGTCTGGGCGCTCGCTGCTGCCGCTGTCCAAGTGCCTGGAGTGGAAGAGATCCGGCTGGGGGCTCGCCTGGAGGGTCTCCCATGGGTGCCTGCACACCCCCCCTCCCCCCGCCCTGCACCAGTGCCCCCTGCCCATCCTGTGCCTACTCACTGGTACAGCTCTGCCAGGAAGAGGTCCAGGCTCCGCAGCTCCTCAAACAGCTCTGCAAGGGCAACAAGGCCAGCTCAGTGCGAGCAACGTCCCTCATTGCCTGGCAGGACCGACATAGGGTGTCAGGCCCATCCCATCGGGGCTGGTTTTGCCATGGAGGTGGGTAGAGGGCTCCAGGCCACCTCCCCCAGCTGGGCTTGGCCATG